AACTTATAACTTTTAATTTTATTATTAAATATTACCCGGGGGTAAAGAACCTGGTAAATACTTTAAGTAAAAAAGTAAACTATATTCCTAAAAAAAAAAAGAAAAAAGCCGCAGGCGGGATAGTTCTTTATAAATTATAAAAGTAATTAAATAACTAACTACTATTATACCTAAAGTTTAAATTATAACTTAATATATAAGTTATTATAGTAAATAAGAACCCGCATGTAAATAAATTATAACTAAGTATTATAAAACTACTTTAGGTAGCCTAAGAATATAATAAAAAGTTTAAAAAAATAAAAAATAACCTTATAAATTTAAACTATAAAAAAAACCTTAAATATTAAAAAGTAATAAATAATAACTTACTATATTTTAAAAATTAAGTTTATATGCTAAAGTTAGTGGCACTTTATAAAAAAATTATAAAAGTAAACCATAACAAGCCCTAAGGTGGGTATTAAGGTATTAATATAACTATTATAAATATTTTTTAAAGGTACTATTGGCTAAATATAACCAAGCATATTAAAAAACATGTTAAAAAGTATAATAATTACTAATAAATTATAGTTTATAAGCATAAATTATATAAATTATTAAAATTATTAAGCCTACCAAGGGCACTTATAAAATAAATTAGTATAAACTTTATTACTAGTTTACTACCTATAAAGTATAATAAGCGTGTATATAATACTATTTTAGTAATAATTAAAATATATACTAAATTTATATAATATATTTTATATTTAAAGAATATTACCGCGGAACAACTCGCAAATACCTTTATAAATAATATTTTTTACTTTATTAGTATATTAAAAAATATGGTTAGTAACCATAAAAGTCTTTTTATTAATATATTTTAGGCTACACTAAGCCACTGCCTGGGCGTAAAATAAAAACTATTTATTATATATTACCCGTAAATAAATGGCTAAACTAAAAGGTAAAATTAAGTTTTTAAATACTACCTCCGTGCTTATGTTAACTGGCACTAAAATAATTAGTTATAATAAATTAAAATAGCGTAATTTATAAATAATAATATGTATAAGTGGTTTATAAATTACACTTTTACTAAAGCTTTTATAAATTTAAAGGTAACTATATATATTAATATTAAAAAACTTAACTAGGTATTAAAGATTAAACTTTAAAAAGTTATAAAGTTTAAGGAAATCCATGTGAATCTAAAAAAATAATTATAAAAGTTAAAAAAAGCTATAATAGTTTAATATAATAAAAAGTATAAGAAAATAAGCTTTAAAATTAATAACCATGTTATACTTTGTATAAAAAATATTAAGTTAATAAAACTAAATTATAAATTAAGTAAGATACTTATTAGTTTATTTTTAGTAATTATAAAATAAAAAAAATAGTCCTATAAGTTACTACTCCTATTAAATATATAATAACTATATAATATTTTTTATATTATACTTTTAAAACCTTACCGCGGCAACCTATTCCAAGCACTAAATATTAATTTTATATTAGTAAATAATAAGAAAAAATACTTTATTAAAAAAATTCTTAATATTTATAAATTTAAGGGTAAGGTATAATATTTTATAAAATAGCAGGAATAAAATAATATAAAAAATAATATATAAAAACTAAAGGCTTATATAGCTAAAACTATGGCACTTAAAGATTTTAAGAAAACCTATAAGAATAAATTGCGTAAAGTAAAGAAACACTAAATATAAATATTTATATTTATAACCTACGCGCATTTATAAAGAGAAAAAAAAATATATTATTTCTGCTAATTAGCGGCGCCCGCAGGGCCTTTTAATAAAAAAAAAAAAAANAAAAAAAAAAAAAAAATAATAATAAAAAATTTAAATAAGCGGCTAAGCCGCGCGGCGTGTAGCGCCTAATATATATAAAATAAGAACCAAGCCCATAAGGGCGCTAATACTAATACCTAGTATAAAAGTAACCTTAATAAAAATTTTTAAAAGTGCTAAAGCGTAGTACACCCCGTACTAAAAATAATAAAAGTTTATAAAAAAATTAGTAATATAATATAGTATAAACTAAAATATATAAATATATACTTAGTAGCTAAAGCCATACCTATATAAAAAAAGATTATAGCTACTAAAGTAGCGCTAAATAAAGGTTTAAAAATTAAAAAAAAAACTACTATAATAAATTAATAAATTAGAATATAATAATATTATAGGAAGGGAACTAACTTATATAATAAATTATTATTTTTATTAAGGGGGGCATTAACCTGCAAAGTAAAGTTAAATATAAATATAATAATATTTATAGGGTTAGCCACCTGCGTATTATTAGCTATAATAATTTACTTAATAATTACTTTAAATACTTAATAAGCTACCCTTAAGATAGTAAGGTTTTTATAAGCTTGTAAACTACTAGCTTTTATATATATAATATTAATAATATTAAAAATATTTTATAACTAATTACCTACTAAAATAATATTAATAATTATATACTTTAAGAGCGCCCTTTTTATATTATAATAAAACTAGTACTTTTTACCCCCTATATAATTATAAGTAAGGGCTTTTATTATAATATTAATAATAAATATATTTTTATTATAACACCCCGCGGTAGCAACGCATATAATATACTATAAAATATAAAAATTAAGTAGTAAAGTTATAAAGCCCGGGGGCAGCAGGGGGAGAATATTAATAAAAGCCTTATTAATAAGGGCGGCGGGGGTAATAATAAGGGTAGTAATAGTAATAATAGTAACAAGGGCCTGTAAGTATTAAAATTAAGTAATTTTAATAATTAGTATATTAATAATTATTAATATATAAGTAAAGGGCAGGAAAATATAATTTTATATGCTAAAAGTAAAATAAAAAGTAAAGGCTAAAACCAAGGCTTAATTACTATAATAAAAAAATATAAAATAAAATACTATAATAAAATAAATAACTATTAATAATAATATTTAAAATATAACATAAGATTATATTAAATATTAAAGTAAAAAAAATATAAAGCAAAGGGCGAGCGTGGGAGATTTTAAAAAAAAAAATAAGGTTAAAAACACGCGGTATAATAAAGATTATAATAAAGGTAAACTATATTTAATTTAATTACTAAAAATAGTTTTAAAAATATAAAAATAATAAGGGCTAAATATAAAAAGCTTATTAGCTAAATTAAAAAGGCAAGTGCGTAGTAAAACATAAAAAAAAGGTGGATAAAGGGCTAATATAATAATATGTTAATAATTAAAATAAAATAACTATATATTATAAATAACTACTAAAGGTATTAAAAAAAGCGTAAAAATAAGGAGATTTAGCTATTTAAAGCTTAAAGCTTTATTATAAAAACTAAGTATAAAGTAAAATAAAATATATAAGCCTAATAATATTAATATAAAATTAATATTATTAAAATAAATAATATAATACTTAAAAAGCATAAAAAAAAATAAATATAAGGTATTTTAACCCTAGGAATATAATTAAATAATTAAAAAGTAATAAAAATATAATAAAAAGGTGTATACTTATGGCAGGCATTTTTAATTAAGTTATAAAAAAAACTTAAAAAAAAAAAAAAAAAGAGATTATAAAGGCACTTTAGTATTAAAACTAAGATATTATACCTAGTTACTACAAGCAGTAATACTATATTTAAATTTAAAAGTAAAATAAGGTAATTAAATTAATTTTTTATACTTAACTTTAAATATAAATTATATATAAATTATAATACTTTATAAACCTGGAGATAGCTTATTTTATAGCGCTTAATAAGATTTATAATTTAAACTATATTTTATAAAATATAAATATAAATTTATAAATTGCAAGGGCGCGATTACTTAAAAAAAAAAAGTATTATTATTATTATTATAATATTATAACTATATAATATTATAATAATATAATCTAGTAGCCTAAGGCCGCCGGGCGGAGGAACTTTAATATTAAACTAGCCGCATGCTAAGGTAGCGGCCAGTTATATAATATATAAAATACTAAGTTTAACTTTAAACTTTAACTTAAAAAAATCAGCAATTAGTCCCTACTATAAATACACGACGCCTTTCCTATTACAGTAATTCACGTTCTCCTAAGCTCACCGCAGTATATAAACGCGACTCACAAGAACCGCGCGTTATACCCTGGGGGTTATACTTAAGGCTATAAGTATAGTAAAAATAGATAGCTTTAACCCAGCTGTATTTATCTTTATTAAATTATTTTTTAAAAACTATATATTAATGATCCCGGGCCTATTGCTGGGCGGCTTCTAGTACTTAGGCTTTAAAGGTATATAATTATTTAGGGGGTAAAAATAAAGGGCCGTTATTATTAAGGCGTTTAGCATTAAATTTAGTGGGGTTAATATCAGGGGCAGGAATATATTTAAAAATAAAGCTATTATTATTTCCAGGCCAGATTTCTGGTTTGTTATTTTTAGTATTTATAGCTTAAATTTATATAAAACTGTTATATAAATCTCAGCCCACGGTTTTTAACAAAAATCACCACTAATTATATAAGGAGTTAAGACGTGGCTGACTTGGCTTGGAAACAGAAAAACTAGCTATCCGGACCGCTTCCCAATTGGGATTCCGCTTTATAAAACCCTGTTAAATAGTTGAATTACCCTGTCGAAAAAGACTAACTCATTTCCCCGCCTCGACTGTGGATCACTGTTGGCACCACCGACTCGCATTTTACTTAGTAGACTTTTTTAATAATTACTCTTCAGAAGACTCGTTCTTGGCTACACTTGACATTCTGAAGATAGCAAGCCAGTTTGCTTTTTGCTGGTGAGACATCACAACAGGCAGCCCCTACTTGATTCTGCCACTGTCAGCTCAGCCTGTTTCACCAGACAAACCTCCGAGAGCTAACTCATACCGCTGCAGTCCTACCAGAACGTATGCTCTTACCTCTCACCGGAATCGAGCTTGAATCAGTCTGTCAACGGCAACACGTACTCAAATACTACAGGAAATCAAGATGGCGCCGCGCGGCCGTGGAGGAAAGTTCTCTAAACCGAGCCGAGGAGGTATTACGCCCGTCTTATCTACTTAGATATACTGAAGAGAGAGAGACAGCTGACCAGCCCGCGCGTAGGTGGAAAACACTTCAGCCGCGACATTCAAACCGTGGACAAAGAAGGAAACCCCGTTAGCATGTGGCGGGTACGTTTCTACCAATCTCACCATCTTTTGAACCAGACGCGCCAACTAAGAGATTCGCAAACTCCAGGAGCCCGCTGATGACCCCGAAACTTCCGAAGAAGAAGAAGAAGAAGCCTCAACAGAAGATTCCGACTCCGAGTCCGAGAACGAAGCCGACCCAAGCACCACAACACCCAACTTTCCCCGCGACGCCCCAGCCCAGGGCAAACCGGAGCTAAGTCGCGAAGAACGCCGCGCAGCCGCAAAGGCTAAGAAAGCCGCTGTCGCCGCGCGCAAGGCGCAAGGTCCCGCACAACCAGGGGATATTCCACCCAGCGACTCCGAGTCCGAAGCACCCGTGACAAATGGCGATAAGAACCAAGGTAAAGCCAGTGCCGCCGCAGTAGGCTCAGAGGACTCAGACCTTGATCTTCCCTCCAATCCAAATTACGCAAAACCGAAGAAGACGCATGATGGTGAAGAAGGGGAAGCGCAGCTGTCACGTCGGGAACGGGAGGCTCTTGAGGCACAACAGGCACGTGAGCGGTATATGAAGCTTCATGCGGAGGGGAAGACAGATGAGGCGCGGGCGGATCTGGCGCGGTTAGCGATTGTGAAGGAGAGGCGGGAGCAGGAGAGGCTGCGGAAGGAGGCTGAGAAGGAGGAGAAGGCAGAGCTTGCCAAGCAGAGGGCCGAAGAGAGGGAGAAAAGACTCGCCAAGGGGGGAAAGAAGAAGGGGGCGAAGAAATAGATAAACGCCAATATGCGCTATCTATTCAGTGCGCTCGAATTTCTGGGTGCACCTCTGGCTATATGGTGGAGCAATAGAGGTTTTTCTTTCTAGTTGTGCAATGTCTCAAGGGAGGTATCAGAGCATAAACACTTCACTGACCATGAAGCCCGCTATAAACCTGCTAAAGTAACGTGATAGACGACATGCCAAATATAAAGATGATGCGATATAAACAACCTGGAGGTTTCATGTAACTAGCGCCTGCCCATTTGCAACACAAAACGAAACCACCATATATGCATAGAAAGACACCGAGTGAGGCCACCTCACTTAAACGCCCCAGAACAACCACTCCACGCTGCGGCCCTGCATCACGACACCCCACCCCGCAATAAGACTAACAAGCCACAAGATTGCGAATACCAAGATTGGAAGCAAAAGTAGTTCTGTGTTGTGCAGGAATGGGAGGGCGTTGTATCCGAGAAAGGAGATGTAAGTATAGTATGTGACTGCGGAGAGATAAAGCGTGTTGCCAAGGAAGGCAGCGAGAAAGTTGCTCGGACTGTGGGTGAGAAATGGGAGGACGAGGAATTGCACGACATAGAGGTGAAGGTAGAGGGGGAAAAAGGCGCGATTAGAGACCTGCCAAATATCAGTTCCATTAGCCTTCTGACCTCACGCATATACACTTTGATCCAGAGCTGGAGACATACATCGAAACAGTACCCAAATTCCAACTGATCTTTCTCACCGGGCTGTGTGAAGAGACCTTGCGCCGCGCCGCGCCGTCGTCCGCGAATGCGCAGGCCTGTTATTGATGCCGCGGCGCCGTTGGGCCCAAAGAGGCGGCCAATGACAAAGTAGCCTATTGTTGAGACAAGAAGCGAAGACCCTATAAAGTGAACGACGACAAAAAAGAAGAAAAGGCGCATAGTAGATCCGAAAGAGGGGGCGTATGCGAGGCCCCAGGCGAGGGCTGTGAGAAGGAGGAAGAAGGAGAGGAGGTAAGCGAAGGACGGGTCGGGTCGGTGCCATGTATTCTTCGTTTCTTAAGACTGAAATTTAGCTGACCGAGTGAAGTTTCTCAGGCTAGACGGAGAACGTACGTTTCTATTGTAGTTTTCGTTAGCAGGAGATCCCAAGAGTATAGGTAGAGTAAGACGTACATGGTAGTATATCGACTTGAAGACCTTCTTCGGCGCGATCATGAGCGACGTCATTTCCCAGATGGCCATCTCAAAGTCCATTTGCGGAAACTTCAACATCCTGCAAGGCATCGAGTTAGCCGGGCGTCCTCCGGGCACCATTGGTTGGCCCGTACCTCTTGAAGAAACGCGGCATCCGCATAGTGCTCGAGCCGCGGTTTGCGGGCAGGCCGCCGAAGTTGGGAGAGCTGCCATGTTGTCGAGGAACGGATATATGCGGGTTCATATCGTGTGAGCCCTGGCAAGGATGTGAGGAGAGAAAGAAAGCAATCTCATATACAGCGAGGTGTAACAGTTGGAGAGAAGTAATAATACAGAGTTGTTCGGGTTGATTGTTTGGTGTCATAGGTTATGTCATCCGGCGGTTGGCTGGTGCTTCGGGCTATTGTATTCCCGTTCCAGTAAGCATATAATGTCTGTTTTATGTCTATGCACTTCCAGGTTTGTGCCACGGAGATCCATGCCTCCAGTGCATGCTGCACCGTTGGAGAGCTACAGAGTCACGAGTGGACAGTGGTTACTGGAGGGATTTTGTTGCTTCTGCGGAGACTGCAATGGCTGAGATGTCACTGTGGTGTATCCTCTGCATGTCGGCATTTTCCCATGTTTGGTGGCTCTCCAATCTAGTCTATGGATTGATCGATGGAGACTCGAGGGTGCCCTGTAGGACTAGATGTTTCCATTCCGTGAATGAATTCAATCAGGCGAAGTGAAGAACTTAGCAGTCACTGAGTCAACAGATCTCGGTAGTGGACAGTCGCGAACTAGGGGTTGATTTAAGGGCGACTTTAGATACCGACTACCGAGTGTAGTGTCGGCTTTGAGTCTTTGACGGCACAGATTGATACCAGCATCTCAGTCAAAAAGTTAAAAGCATCCTAGTATTGGATAGAGTTGAGACACGTCAATAATCCTGGATGATCCTGACGTGCAATCGGATCTATCGTGTCGTGTGCAGCTGGCTGTGGGATCAGTCTCCAAAACTCGACTGTATACGGAGTACGGAGTCTTGATGATCAAGATGGAGTCGATGGACGCTAGTAGATGTGCTTAACGATTCCCCCGAGGATTTATGATGATGAAACGGCGGGAACCTCCAAGTCCAACGTAGGTAGAGTAGATAGCCTTGCAGAATCTCGAACGCTGAACGCCAGACGATGTCCCCCATCGGTCGACCTTGCCCCTGACCCGGGCAGTGTCTAGGCCGGGGATGGTCTAGCCGTGCCAACTGGTAGAGACGCTAAGCGGGACTATCGCCTTTGGCATTTGGTTTCTCCCGGAATTTATATTGCTTCTTCTAGCCCACCCAGTCCCCCATCCATGGTCCTCCACTCTCTCCACTGTCGCCTCCATTATCCCGGTCGCTCTTTTTCTGCCTTTACATCGCAGTCTCGTTTCTTCACCTTGCGAGTCCGAGCCCCGGTAGAGTCCCTGGAGAACCGCACACTCTCTTCTCCCGGACCGTGGTTATCTATTGCCGTCCCTGGTCCGCTCCCTCCCTTGGTTCGTCTCCCCTGCCGGCTGTGACTTTTGCACCCTTGGGTTGCTGATTGATAAAAGCGGACAAGATAGTAAAGGAAAACAAAAGTTCGTTCCAATCCATTCTAATATCACCCACGTTCTGCTGTCTGTGGCAGCCCTCGAGGATCTATTCTACCCCTTACACATTACACCGCAGTGATCGTGGACCTTCCTCTCACGCCATGCCTAGGTGATACAGAATACAAACTGCCCGTTTCGCTTGGCCGGCATACGATTGAGCCCAATTCCTGGACACTGCATATATATTTTCTACGACCCCCATCCTCACGACGAATTTCTGATCGACGTCTTTCGACCCTCGTTCGATGCCGAAGTCATTCGAAGTGTGACCCTCTTTAGCTATGAGTCGATCTATGCGATCCGGCAGCGTCACAGTGACATCCCAGCACCATGATTTGGATACTGCCTCACCTCCTCGAACACCCCCAGGACCTTCCAGTTACAAAGTTAAGAGGGGTCGTCACCCACGGCCCTCAGTTCGCGAGACCTTCCTCGATGATTTTAATGACAATGCCAATGATAGCTACGACTCCGGCGATGAGCGAGATCCTCATGACCTGTCGCTGTCCCCTGGGCATGCTGCCCGCACGTCAATAGTCGACAATATGTTGCTTTCCTTAGACCAGTTCTCTTCCGGGAATGCCGTGTTAGACGACTATCGTCTCTTCAGCTCCGCCTTCGAATCTCCTAAATACTCACGATCTTCCCAAGATACAGTGGCACAGCGCCGATACAGGGGCCATACATCTTCATCTTCGCTCTCGTCAGATGTGGAATACGGGTATGACGAGGGCGCCAGCCGATACGCATCTCAGCATGCTAGAGGACGTCGGAGCAACAGTGGCTCAAATTTCAATGCAGGTGTGAGAAGGTTCGAAAGCACGCGGAGCCGCGATGGGTCTGCCTCCCACTTCGATTACCGAACCAGTATCACTGCACCTGCAACTCGCGCTGGGAGGAAAAGCAGCAAGGGGAGCACGTCTTCTAACTTGGATTTTGGTCCTTCATTCTCGCGACGCCAGATCGAGCCGACTAGCGAGAGGCGATCGGCGAGCTTTGACATGGGTACGAGGAGACCGTTTATGACCTCTCCGGGTTCCTCCTCAGACTATGATTCGATGGCATATGACGGCCTGGATGCAGCGCCCATGCCTAGCGTTCCCGCGGGCCCAAGGAAACACCACCCGCCATCCCAAGAATTCGGCAATAATACTCTAAAATCCCAGTCATCGCGCACCCCAGTGGCATCACGAAGGAACAGCATCAAATCCTCGCGGACCACACAATCGCGGAAGCCTCGCCCTGAAAACCTCGGTACGGCAGCTATGAGATCCCGGGACCATGAATTTGCGCTCTTGGGCGACGCTGATCTTGAGCCCCCGCCGAACATATCATCTTCGCTAGACCCGCCAGCGCCAAGTCCAACAATTTCGTTCAATAAGACTGCATTCCCCCTTCCAGAACCAACCCCGACTAAGGAGCGTCCGGGTTTCTTCCGTCGTGTTTTCGGATCCTCGAAAAGCCCTGGTATGATGCCGTTCGACGGCTCGTCCGATTATCCACCTTTGAGGGAATCTGACTCAAGGGATGTAAATGGGACTAGCGCTAGCCCACGAGCACGCAGTCAACCGCAGAAAACAAGCGCAGCTGGCACTCATATGCCTCGTGAGGGTGCCCAGGTGGTGAGCAAGAAGCCATCCTTCTTCCGCCGGCGGAAGAAGTCGGTCGCGGAGAATGTTCCGCCTCCAATCATCCTTCCCCAGAACCTTGGAACCAAGGCCGTGGGAATAATGAAGCCGGACCCTAGCCCAGTCAGCAGCCTGCGAAAGGTTATGCATCCATATCTTGCAGATGCTATTCCCAACAATAGCTCTCCTGTAGTGGATTATTCCACCGAATCCTCAGATTGGAGTACTGCGGCTAATGATCCAGACAACAAGAAATCGGATGATGCTTTGAGGCGCAAGGAGAAGGGCAATTCCCTAACCATTCACACAGGGCCCAAGGCTAAATACAGCCTTTACCCTGCGAGCGCAATTAGCCATGCACCTGATACGTCCTTTCTGGGAACCAGTAGCGGCGATGAAGAGCCTGTTGATAAATCAAACGGGCCGGAAGTCACACCACCGGTGCCACCGCGCTCCTCTCGCCGACGAGCGAGGGACAGCGCTAAGTCGGAACGCAGTGACGCAAAGACCGTGGAGACAAAACAGGGGGCTGAAACATCTCGAGACAAGTTGACAATATTGGAAAACTTGCGTCCTACCTCGTTATCTCCTGTCGCCGAGCGTTCTTCAATCCAGTCGGCCACGCTTCCTACTATCGAGACGCCTGACGACGATTCAAACTCAAACCTTACAAAGGAATTGGAAGATAAAGACATGTACGATGCAACCATATGGAATGATGATTCTGATGCGCCCAGCAAACTATCTACTCCGATTATCGACAAAGAGTCTTCCCGGGCCTCGGGCTCTGAGGCTTTCAAATATCAGACCGCGACTAATACCCCCATAGCACCGCAAGGATATCAGTGGAAGTCTGCCAAAAACGACGGCTCTCCGGGTGACACATTATCAGAGATACCCAGCAGCGAAGAGAAGCAACAAGCGCAGAAGCTGTATGATGGCCATGATGAGTTTGTTGGGGATGAACCAGCTGCTGCCTGGCTCGGTAGTCCTGACCGTGCCAAAATCCGAGCAGCATATATGGCTTTGTTCGACTGGTCTAACATGAACATCCTTGCAGCTCTTCGCGGATTATGTCTCCGATTGCTTTTAAAGGGGGAGACCCAGCAAGTTGATCGCGTTCTGGATGCCTTTTCGACAAGATGGTGCCAATGCAACCCCCACCACGGCTTTAAGGCGGCCGGTAAGCCGATAACTCCCTTCGTCAAAATCTAAGCGCTGACCCGATCTTAGATGTTGTACACACAGTTTGTTATTCTTTGCTCTTATTGAACACAGACTTGCACCTTGCGGATATCGAGCAGAAGATGACCAAAGCACAATTCGTCCGCAACACAATGCCCACAATTCAACGGGTGGCCGCCGATGCCGCGCCGGACGAGTTGAGTAACAGAGCGACTGGTTTGAATCTGGACTCTGGCCTTTCATCTTCTCGATCTGCCACGTTTCCTACCGACGAGTTGGAACCAGGCAATGCAAATACAGATAAGCCAATCACCACTCCCGGGAAATTGGCAAACCGTCTGTCTCGGACAGATTTAGGGACGAAAATGACAAACGACGCCGAGGACGAGATTGGTCCATTGGTCAATACTCCATTCTATGGTACAGCAAAAGCCTGGGAGCAGCAAGTTGAAACGGTCCTGCGAGGGTTTTACTCATCGATCCATAAACAAAGGCTTCCACTACTTCGTGCCCAAACTGAGAAAGACGTACCTCGCACAGCATCGAGCGCTATGCTTGGCCCAAATTCCGGACCCCATGGCCTTCGAAGAAGTCCCAGTACTGTCAGCAAAAGTGGCTCCGACATCTTCCCGCGGGGTCGTTCCGCTGACTCTCGCTTTGGTACCGCACGCTGGTCTTCCAAACCTCGTTCGCGAGCGCGGCTATACCCTCCATCTACTCTAGGCTCTAGCCGAACAAGCTTGGATGATCAATCATCTCTCTGGAGTCCATCTGGATCCAGTACCTGGAGCAAGTACTCTCTAGGAAAGCTGACATCCGCCTCTGTTGACTCGTTTGCTTCAGGTTATCCGCATGCAGACTATCAACAGTCCATCGGGTTCGCCAACGCGCTCAGCCAGGCAATCATTCGCGAAGACTCTGCTCATTCCATTGCTAGCACTGAAGATCCGGAGCGGACCGGTCAACTTCTCGAGGATGAGACCTTGGAGCTGGCCGGCGCACCGTGGGCTAAAGAGGGAAACTTAAAGCACAAGCACCACCTGGATTCCGTTGATAAGCGGGCGAAAGACCGCAACTGGAATGAATGCTTCGCTGTGATCCAGCAGGGGTGGATGCGTCTTTTCTCGTTCAACGCATCAAAAACAATGAAACAAAAGTCTAAGCAGCGACCGCCTGGCGGCGTTGTCGTGGGCGGAGGTAACTGGACCGAGAACGCCGAAGAAATCTGGAAATTTCTCTTGCGCCAATCCATTGCCAGCGCGCTCCCGCCTCCAGGCTACTCAAAGTCTCGCCCCCACGTCTGGGCTTTGAGCCTACCAACTGGTGCGGTGCACCTTTTCCAGGCAGGCACGCCGGAAATCGTCCGTGAATTCGTCTCCAGTGCCAACTATTGGAGCGCCAGACTCTCCAAAGAGCCTCTTATCGGTGGTATCAGTAATATTGAATACGGATGGAGTGACGCGGTTATTAACAGTGCGTTGATCAACCATGATTCAAATCGATCGCCGCCGTCTTCGTCTGGACCCGGGCCGCGGCCTAGCATACAGAGTTCTATTCGGAGCTCTATCGATCAACAGGTTGTCCGTCCCAAGTTGCCCGCGGACAGAGTGAACATCAGCGACTGGACCCCACCGCAGCAAAGTATGATGGCCGCCAGTCTTAGCGAAGCTGATCAGTTGATCTCTCTGCAAACGTACGTCAAAAACGTCGAGGACGAGCTGCAACGGCATAACGAACTTCGGCCTGCTATGGTGCTTGCTTTCTCTCCACGGCATCCAAATGCGGCAAAATCCATGGTCAACTGGGAGCGGAAGTCGTCCTACCTGTTGCGGGAAATTGTGAAATTCCGTACATACATTGATTCCCTCCAAAATGCAATTCACGCAAAGAACAAGATATTCGCTGATCGGGAGGATCAATCAAAGCCTCTCGAGTCGTGAGCTCTAATGTTTTCCCAAATATAATCATATTTTTCCCACCCGGCGAGGTACTTCGGCACGATATAATGTATTATACCCTTCAAGAGCTCAGTCTGTCTGTACATATAACAATTGAGACGCATACTTCATGATTACAAGTGTTGTAGTATGTAATTTAATTTCATCCCCTCTCCTTCGTGCCATGACTTGAGCTTTGACAATATTATGCAGATAAGATAAATGCCTGCTTGATTTATTGTGATCTGGATGTTATAGTCCAGTATTCTACATTGATAATTCCTGCATAGAGAATTTCTGTAGTAAACCCGTTGAATAAGTTCTGGTATGAGTGAGGTGAGGCAGGAGAGGTCTTGGCTCAAACTCAATAAACTAAAAGATTCACCACAACAAACACTCAACGGCTGTCTTCGCCCTTCATCTCCCCTTCTTGGTTGATGTCACTCTCTTCACCGGCTATCCATCAACAAAAGCAAAAAAAAAAAAAAAAAAAAAAAAAAAAAAGCTA